CCCCCCCAGCCCATCTAAAGCGCCGGCATGCTCCTGCCACACGGGCCTCCTACTTCCGCCTACTCACCAACCCCCCCGCCCCCTGCATCTTATCATGTTCCCCTTTCATGTGGCATTTTCAACCCGCATCGCAGGCTCCCTGTCGGTGTGCAGATGATCTTCGCCGAGCATGCGGAGCGCTTGGCGTCCGGTGGTCGCCTGGATTTGGCCTGCCACACCCTGCAGGTGGCGGTATCCCACTCGGGCAACCCTGTTCCCGGCACGCCGGACGCCTTGGCCCACTTGCGCGCCCTGTTGGAGAAGTTCACTGCCCTGAGCACGGCGACCCCGGCACCGGCGGCGCGCGCCGCCCCGGTCGCCCAGCAGCAGCCCCAGCATCACTACCAGTCGCCGCAGTCCCAGCAGCAGTCTCAGCAGTACCAGCCCCAGCAGCAGTACCAGCCCCAGCAGCAGTACCAGCCCCAGCAGCAGTACCAGCCCCAGCAGCCCCAGCAGCAACAGTTCCAGCCGTACCAGCCTCAGCCAGGCCCGGCCGCCCCCGGCTATCAGCCCCAGCCGGGCCCCGCCGTCACTGGCACCTTTGCCCCGCTGGCGGCCGGTGGCATGAGTGGCAGTGGCGCCGGCAGTGGCGTCTACCAGCCGCCAGTCGCAGCTCCTGCGCCGGTGCAGCTGTTCAACCCGGCGGCCAGTGTCACTTCGCCGAGCGCGGCTGCCGTGGCCCCGCCCCCTCCGACTGGCAGCAAGCCGCCCACCTCCAGCCCGACCCTCTTTGCGGGTCAGCCCTCGGCCACCGGGGCTCAGCCGGCCTTCGTGGCCCCGCCCCCGGGCGTGGCTACCTTTGTCCCGCCGTCGGCGCACAACCGCCCGATGATGGCCGGTGTTTCGGGTGGTGGCTCGCAGCAGCCTCCGCATGTGCCCGGACTCATGACCCCAGGTCGCCCGGGTGGCCCCCCGCTCGGTGGCCAGCAGCCGCATTCGCCGCTTGGCAATGATCAGCTCACCCGCCCCACTGGGACCACGGCCATGCCGCTGTCCTCGTTCCAGCGCCCCTCGACCCTGGCCCAGCCCAAGGTGTACACCATCGACAACGCAGGTATGTACCCCCGCTGGGTGACTCCCTCGCTCTTTCCTCCCAGTCTCCTGACCGTATTCCTTCGCCGGGTGTTCCCGCACACCGCTCCCCCTCCCCCCCCCCCTCCCCTGGCCGCTCCTCCGTATATGCATGTGTCGGCCTGCTTGTGCAGTGGTCGAAGAGATCGTTCGCACTCTCTCCGGCTTCCTGGCGCAGGCGGCCCAAAGCCAGGTACACACCCTCCCATGCCCCATCGCCTCCTCACATGCCCAACCCCACACCTTGATGCGCTTTCCGGCTCTCCATACCTCGCATCTGGCTCCCTAACCAAAGCTTCACCCGCTGCCTGGCCTCATGACAGGACCCCCGCGTCACGCGCACTGTGCGGGACTTGAACAAGCGCCTTGGCATCGCCGCCGACGGCGACTCGCCCACGATGGCCACCTCTGATGGGCTCTTCCCGCGGATGCGCCGTGGCAATGTCAGCCCCGAGATCTTGGCCCTGGTTCGGGACTTTGCCGCCGCCCTGGCCAGCCACAATCGCGCTCTTTGCAGCAGCACCCACCTGGCCATCGCCACGCATGCCGGTACTGCCGAGGTGGATGGCCTTTCGGTTGCCATCAAGCAGCTCCTTTCGCTCATCTGAGCACGCATGCCCGCGAACCGGATTCGGTCATTTGTGCCCAAGGCGGCCTCCTCTACTTTCGCGCGACTACCTTTGTGAAACAGCATAAACTCCCGGCAAGAGGGGACCGGGCACTTTGTCCTGCCCCTCGGCGGCCCTCTCTCTCTCTCTCTCTCTCGTCTCGCTTTTCTCGCTGGGCTTTCTCTCGACTTTCGTGCAGGGGGTTGGTTAAGAGGATATATATGCTTATATATTTCAGTTTCTAGGTTATGTTCTCGTTTTTCAGGTCGGGCACGTGACACCGACATCGAGCTTGCCGTGTGGTCGGGCCAACGGCATTTGCTCGGTCCAGGCCTCGACAGCGAATGCGCCAGGAAGAAGGAGAGATGCTGGGCAAATTCGAAAGAAAATAATCCAGCAAGTATGTGGCGGGATTTGGGACGGGGCTTTCCTTTGTTCACGAGCCAGGGCTTGGCCCGGAGTCTCGCAGGGCACACGGCCGGGGCGCAGTTAGGGGGAACAGCTCAACAACGCGCGCGAGGATGGGCCAAGTTTCGCCGGGCGAAGGGGTGATGGCCAGGTGCCAGTGGACTCTGCTTTCCGGGCCGGGGGGCTGGGTGAAGCTGCCCTGCCGAGAGCCGGCCCACATTCTCCTTGTTGACGGCAGACGGCGGTGTGCACGCCAGCAAGGTGGGATGGCCGGAGGGGGGGGGGG